CTTAATGTATANATTATATATATATATATATAATATATTATATATAATATATATATATATATATATTAATATTATAATATATAATATATAATTANATACATATGTGTGGATAGTTTGGGTCGTATCAACTGATCATCAAATAATAGTAACGATTAGCCTGCAAATCCGATAGCTATGTATGAAATCCGCAAACCTACTCTCGATTGACTCAGCAGTGATAGATAATAGTCACGTGTGCAAGTAAATCGGTAGCCATCCAACATGTACCCACTATAAGGAGGTATTCCTGAGCTCGAACAGGCACTCAGATACATAAATGTGGTTGGATTTGAGGCTACAGAAACACCAGAAAGTACTATGCCATAGAATCGCCGAAGCATAAGTATGAGCTGTTGGAAGAGGTGCGACTGAGCGGAGTGTAGCGTGCAGGCCCAGCGGAAAAGATAGCAGTGACTGATGCGATAGGAAAGTTACTTTCAAAGATGATATCGCCGATACTATACACAACCGTCACACACGCCACAGAAGCTGCGAGACGAGGTCTTCTCTAGCCATGGCACTACGTGTCCGACAGCAAGCTGCAATAGATTCCTCACAGGTACCAACTGACGCATTGCTATCAAACTAATACACACAGAATTTACGTAAAATACCTTACCTTGCGAATGGACACCCTGAAAAAACGTTTACGCCACTGACAAGATGCGTAAACTTTTATACGTCTTACAAGGAATTTATCACCGATACTGTGCACACCTATTCGCACACCCCGTAAACGCTGCGTGGTCAGATCATCTCACGTCATAGTGAAAGGATGTGTGTCCGGGAACTATGTACACCAGAGCTCTCCTGGCATCACAACAGCTACTCTCAGCATCGCAAACACGCTAATCCATACAGCAATCACCAAACGAATACACCCCCAGCGGACTACTCCCTGCCCCACTACTTCCTTCACGATCCATGCGACGTAGTCGAGTCAATGGCATACATGCCTTCTTTGCAAAATTCAAGAACAAAAAGTTCCGATACCACTTACGAAGAAGGCATCGCCTATACTGTGCGCCCCCGTGGCACACGCGGTAGAGGCTGCGTGGTTGGGTCCTTTGAGACCATAGCGCATGGACACATGCCCCGCGGCTATGTTGACCAGTATTCTGGGTACAAAGAAGGGGCTGACACGCCTGAAACCCTCGTTGCGCAGGCTGTTGGTGGTTTCGGCTATTTCAGACAGGCCCACTATGCCCACGCCTGCAAGTAGCGGTTGTGTGTGTTGGTGGTGGGTATGTATGTGAGGTGTGTCTGGTATCTCGGTCCGTTGATACACTACTGAGAGGGCATCCGCGCCCCTACCGTTGACTAGGTGTCCATCGCTGCGGTAAGTGGTTCGGTAAGCAGTAACATCGTATGTACACCAAACGCCTGGGCAAGACAATCAGCATAGTTCGTATACATGCTAGAGTTGCATCATAGTATCTTCATAGACAGTCTGTTGCCACGCTCTGATTGGTATTCTTTCATCCGCAAATAACTTTTGAACCACTCGCACTGTCACATATGTACATAAACATCGATTTAATTCCGTATATAAGAGTCACTGCTATATAGACAGTTAAACAAAATTGCTAACAAAACTTTCGTTATCTACATTCAATATAACTTTCGTTATCTAAATTCAACACAACTCTCGTTATCTACATTCAATATAGTTTCGTTATCTACATTCGATATAACTTTCGCTATCTACATTCAATATATCTTTATTATCTACATTCAATATAACTTTCGATAGCGCACCTGAACATGGCGTACACCTTACACCATTCACCCCGCACGCGCTTTGGCGTCCCTCAAGTACACTGACTATACAACACGAACGCAACGCGTCAACCACCCGATACATTCCTAGGCCAATCCCAAACAACCGCAACACTCCGATTCAATTCAGGCCCAACCCCCTTTTCTAAGACATCTCAAACGTTCACAGTAACTACACAACGGCAGAAAAACTACTTATCACATACCTATATCCACGCCCGTCCGTACTTGCTCAGTCTCTGTCTCGGGTGTCCACTTGGCATCCTTTAGGGCTTCGTCTGCGGCAGCTAGTGCATATACCGCAAATGGGGGTATCCTACGCGACTCCCCGGTCTTCAGGTGATCGTTGGGGCGGAATTGGTGGGCCTCTTCTCCGTGGGGGACGATAGCACCTGCAAAGTCATAGCACGCGCGGATCATGGATGACAGGACCAGACTGTACGCAATGCGAAGAGTGTGAATCGGGGTTTTTTTGGGGGGATTGTTTTTGGCGAAACTGGTGCGGCTCTTCTCCGTGGGAAATTATCGCACCTCTACTATGCGAGGTTAAAGCACGCGGGGGCTGTGTGTATCAATGTACTAGATTGTGTACTATTGTACTATGCTAGTATATGAAATTAATAGATTTTGCGTGATTGTACTAAATGGTTTACGCATGTACTGGGCTACTGGATATGTATGCACCTGCCACTAAAGTGACTGGTGCAAACAACTGTTATGTCGTAGTCTTCAGGTGGTCGTGTGAGCGGAACTGGTAGCGACTTGAGGAACGGAAGCTCTTGCACGAGGTCAAAGCGCATGTCGATTGTGTATGGTTGCACTAGACTGTGTACTATTGTACTATATTGCTGGATGTGTATACATACGTAATCGAAATTGGTATTGCGAATAGTTCTCCGACGCTGGATTAATAGGCATGCGCGATCCAGTGTGTGTACAAAAACCACGCAACGCGTACTGTGGTGTTCAGTATTGGCTTGACCATTCGGTCCGGCATATAGAACTGACACACTAGGCAACTCTTACAACGATCGATTTGATGAGACTTAAATGTCTCGGAGACATCTACTATACGTTTGAACCCTTTCTATAAACTAAATCAAATTCTGGCTCGCAGATATAACCTATACGTTCACTTGCCTGGTAGTCATGTGCTATCACAATGAATTTACTTGGCAAACGTAATACTGACATCTACAGATCACGGGCCTCCCTATAGAACTAGTTGCACATGTTCGTGGCGAGGCGATACCGTACCACAAGTACAAGACCAGCTATACCATGTGCCAAGGGGGTTCGAACAGCGTCGATACGTATACAGTGCTACAACATAGGCCAAGAAGCCACACCTAGTTTATGCTCGCCTATAAATACATATACATACAGCCATAGACACTGAGATACGCAATCGCAGGCCGACAAGTAGGTAAGATCTTTGTAATACGTTGTCTCTGTGCAAGTCACCCTATTTTACCTATATTCGTGGGAAGCGTAGAAAACGTATTGCTGTCATCGTCCTCAAGCACGTGCACGCCAGATTGACCAGCCAACAACCGCTCCCATGTGGCCTGGTAGGTATGGGAGCAGAAGCAAACTATTGATGAGATTTGCTGCACGAAACCAGGCTAGCCCAGTAGTACCACACGTCATCTACAAGAAGTGATAGCCCTAGGCCACAATATACCAGGGTCACAACACAATCGCGCAGAACATGGAAGCACGTCTACAACACGAAAGTGTTTAAACTTAACTACACGAGAGCCACCAAACAACAAACACGGACGTGACACACAAATCACACATTAACTTCACTCAACTGTGAAACTTGAAACCAAAATAAGGATCACAAAACAGACACATTTCGCAAGTGTCACCTCTACACCCATAGTCAACGGTATGATCAAACCCAGGCCAGTCATCACTATACGACAATACGATAAGGGAAGAAATGTATGGGACATGACACCACCTCTACTAGCATTTGCTGTAGTGTGTGTTCAGCACTCTTTGCTAATCACCACACAGTAATCACAAACGTGATATTCACAGAGATGAGAGCCACTAAGCAATCAGACCGTCAAACTATACCGGCAGACACGCGTAGATATCACTGACACGAAAGAAATAGACTTGCACCACCACAGGGTCACAAAACAATCATATAGCACTTAGATGTGAACCACAAATCACCCGTGTGGGCCATACACGAAAGTGACAAGACCACATGAAAGTCGCCAAACCTTTACAGAAAAGTGAACACGAGAAATCACCTGTACACCCACGGCCAATGGCGTGATCAACCCCAGGCCAGTCACCACCACGCGACGATGCGGTAGGGGTGGGGGTGGGTCTGATGTTGTACCGCCATTGTTAGTACAGGCTGTTGTGTGTGTCCGTTGACTGAATCTGAATACACCACGACAACTCTGTGACTTCGACAAACTCGTTATAGCACTGTTGTATGAATGTGAAGGCTCCTGCCTATTATTGTTAGAGTATGTATAGTATGTATTCGTATGTGTTTGTGTACAGAGATGTGCGTGTATGATCCTGTAACTCGATCTGAGAGCCATTGATAAACTGCTTGTTATATTGAGTTGTCTAGGACCTACCCGGGCCGTGTTGATCTTGGAGCTGCAACGAAGCATGGTCGTATTTATGTGATATACAACTACGTTTCAGTATATGCAGCTTGATATACGTTGGTTTTACAGGTATGTTGTGTTTGTGAGATACTTGGCTATGGTTCGGTACAAATAGATTCATATACGATCGCTATAGCTATGCTGTGTTGTAATATACCTGTTTCCGAACACGTACAATGATATACATATGTTGGGTTTACACACAACAAGAGGTGAGCCTTGTCATATGCTTGAATTGAATACTCAGCAAACCTTTGTAAAGCACCATATGTATATATGTATAAATGAATTACCAGTATGTTTACGCTACTCTGCTATAGCCTATATTATATAGGTCATCGAAATAGATCAAAAATACATAAATATATATTTACACACACAACTATGTATGGTATACAACCGCCAAAACAAATGTCAGCCAAATTTGGCATCATAGCGTCGGTACTGTCAACTTGTCGTCAAGTGTCAGGCGGTATTTACTTAAAAATAGTACGGTATGTAGTCTGTTTCTCGGTACTCGGTTCGGTAGGGTAGTCGGTAGACTGTAGTCGGTAGGCCAGTAGCTATTTAGTAACTGTGGTAAATGCACACAATGTGAAAACCGGAAACCCAAGGTACGCAAATTCGGCAAACCGGAAACCCAAGGTACGCAAATTCGGCAACAATAGATGCAAATAAACTTGGGTTGTTTTTTTGCCGTAGAAACTTGATTTAAATAAGGCCCCAATGAGATCAGACTTCAGAGGTGTCAATGTCAGTGGAATTTCTGGCGGGCGGAACGATCAATGACATGATCACAAACATTCGAACTTTCAAAGTGAAGAGTTGCTCGTGCGATACTCGTAGTTGTTCGCATACATAACGCGTGTATTTAAAGAATTTATTCGGAAATAAACACGTATGTGCTTATTTTAAAGACAGAGTATATTTGGCTTGTATATCATAGTTAGTCCGAACGTATAATTAAGTTCAATTGCGCACTTCCTGTTTGACGAGGGCGCGCATTCAATAGCACACATGAGTTCAAAGCTTCAACTCGCTGGTGCCTTTTTGTAGTCTCTGACATACATACATATAAAAATACCAAATATAACGATCATGGCGGACGTCAATGCGACTGTCGCAGCAATCGACGAGATGGTTCGTGATAGTATTAATGCCACTGTGGCCGCTCTGAACGAGACACTCGATCCTAATATGATGACCGTCGGCAACATTACCTACAATATTACAAACTACAACGAGGAACAAGTAAGTGTCGGTGTGAAATCGCAGCTCTATGTATAGATGAGCATCATAAAATCACTGCATAAGAACATAAAAATTATGAACATATGTATGTAAAAACAACCAAATAACGCGTACACACACACACACAAACACACACGCACGT